CCACCAGCACTGCGTTCCTCGTCTTTGTCCTCCTGGCTCCATCGTTTCGCTTTATGTTTCCAATTATATACCCACTTAAAAGTCCTTTGAGCAAAGGAAGTAGTTTAAATAACAAAATATCCAGTGCGAAATGTGTTGCAGATTCCAAACAAACCGATGTATTAATCACGGCTACACTTGTTTCTGTGGAAGGTACCGTCTCCTCTCTGTCGACCAGAACAAAAACTGTATAGAAGGGGCAGGGCCAGCACTAAAATATACCAGTGTGATGCTGATATGACACTGACACCTTGTGGACTGAACACATGAGTATATGTTGATAAACAAAACTACCACATAAACTGCAACATCAGCCCGTCTGCAAGTTGTCGCTTCGTGTCTAAAAAATTGTTCTAATTTTTGCTAGTAACGTATGTGTTTCAAAGTAATACATTCGAATAACAATTTACTTCTACGAATTAAAGGCAGCAAATTTTCAGTTTTTTTCAAAAGAGTATGTTGATCAGTTAACCCACTTCAAGGCTGTCATATCATCGTCCCTAATCGTAGTAGTCAACATCATATTTGTATTAGTATATCCAAGTGTTGTATTTTTCTTTAGGTCAAAGCAATTTAGCTTCGTGTGCGATTATTTCTCTAAAAGAAAAAAGTGTGATTTTGACAACATTGAATGATGATTGAGTGAAACGATGACAGGGTTTGAAGGCAATTAACAACATTTTTTCCAAGGAAAACAAATAAGAATCAACTACAAGGGACCTATGGATTTCTAATAAAAACAAACAAACAAACAAACTCATAGACGCCTAAATCAATATAGCTACTGAATCGTGTAATTTAATCCCTAAATAAACACGCGACACTTTTAGTAAAAAAACAAAAACAAAACAACAACACAGAGAATCGAATTCTCATATTATGAAGAAAAGAAACTAACTTAAATTTCAGCAGTTTAACCGCTTGCCAGGACCATGGACAGTGCTCACAAATATGCTGCAATTCAGGTGTAATATTATCTTTAAATCAGGAGCATTATATGTTTTACTTCTAAAGGGAACACGTCTGGTAAGACAGTTAAAACTTAAACATGGTCTTACCTCTTCAGAAGGACGTTTCCTATCAGGAAGCATTAGTGTATTTGCATGACTTCCAGGTACTATAGTAGATCCTATACTCAT